GGCTGGAGGGAGGCAGCATGTCTGGCCTTGCAGTAATAGGCCTTGGGTTACTGCTGGTAATCCTGTCTTCCTCTTGTGAGATTAGAGGAGGTCAGAACATGTGGCCTCCTTGCCGTTTTTGCAATGGTATTTGCAATGACTAAGACCCTGGTCTTGAAAAATCCTATCATGCAATCTGCCATGTTGTTTCTATCACCTAGGCTGTGTTTTCCAACTACTGATCCTTCTTTGTTTCTAACTTTCCATTCCAATCACCAGTAATTATCAATGCATCTTGATTGCATGTTTGATCAATTTCAGGCTGCAGAAGTTGGTAAAAATCATCAATATTTTCATCTTTGGCCTTAGTGGTTGGCATAAACTTTAGTAGTCGTATTAACTGGTTTTCCCTGTAGGCACATGGATATTATCCCATCAGTGATAGCATTGTACTTCAGAAGAGATCTTGAAATGTTCTTTTTATTATTATTATTGTGATTTAAGTGAAACTTTACAGAAAAAATTCATTTTCCATACAACAGTTCATACACATTTTTTATTTCACGACATTGACTGCAATTCCCCACAATGTAACAGCTCTCTTCCCACTTCCTCCCTGTAGTTAGGCCTTGAAATGTTCTTTTTAATGATGAACGTGATGCCATTCCTTTTCAATTTGTCATTCCCAGAATAGTAGACCATGTGATTATCCAGTTCAAAATGGCCAATACCAGTCCATTTTAGTGTGCTACTGCCTTGGCTATTGATCTTCAAGCATTTCGTTCCATTTTTGACAACTACCAATAGTCCTTTATTCACACTTTGCACTATCCATATTGCAATTACTAATGGACATTTACTGCTGTTTTTTCTCATTTTGACTCATGCCACATCAGTAAATAAAGATCCTGAAAGCTTTATTCCATCCACTTCATTAATGCTAACTCTACTTTGAGGAGGCAGCTCTTTCTCAGTCGTATTTTGAGTGCCTTCCACTCTGAGGGACATATCTCCTGGCACTGTATCAAACAACAGTCCATTGCTATCTATTAGGGTCTCACTGGCCAATTTCCGTCAGAGGTAGATCACCAGGTTCTCCTTGCCAGTCTGCTTTAGTCTGGGAGCTCTGCTGAAACTTGCCCACCAGGGTGATCTTGCTGGTATTTGAATTACCAGTAGCATAGCTTCCAGCATCACA